CATAAGCCATTGATGAAGAAATAGAAGTCATAGGATTAGCACTTAATGCACATACCATTGCCTGATTTGTGAGACTTTGTAATCATCAGGTAGATCAAGTTTTGCCCTTGTCACACAGTAGAATGGATTGTCTTTGGTGTTTTATAAGGAGTATCAGGGGAAATGTTCTTGTTTTAGTGTCAGCACTTATGAAGGAAACAGTTAGAACTCCGTTCGGTTTTCCTGATGACATAAACTTGTCAGTCAAATATGTTCAATTATCTTGATTGCCATTACTATCTGGAGAACTGTTTAACTAGGGACTCATCAAACTTGTCTCGCCTTGTTGTGGAGTCATCAGATTGATCTTTGTCTATAAATGCAAATATCTATCAATTCCAACCCTTCTCTAGTTTGAATAGTTTTTCTGTGAGGTTCACATATGATCATTCTGGACAGATGATAAAGATGTTGCTTGGCTACAAATTGTTATTAATGATGCCTCCTCCAACTTAAGAAGTTGCGAAGAACTTTAATGTAAAATTCAGAAAGTCTCTAGGTGTAAATCATGTACTTCATATAAACCAAGATAACTACCCCGCAAAATTGTCACAAAAAGAATGTTGGCGAATTTCCATGTTAGTAGTTGAGAGGTTTATCTATGTTTGGAAAATGACATTTAAGGCTGTAGTATGCTTTGCATCATTGCCCTCTCATTCATTCTTGTAGTTGACATTTAAGGTTGTCATGGTCTGTTCTTTTTTATGGAATCTCTTTCGGCTTCTGCCTTATCTCCTTTATTTGTTATTCGTTGCTATTATTGTGGCAGCCTATAAGGTCAAAATGTCTAAATTTTATAAAATTGACGTGTACACCAGGGTCTACTAGAATCAACAGTAATGCAATATCATCACATTGGACACCACCTAGTTTGCCTGTCAAAACCTATGGTTGATCATGTTCAGCTTAGCCAATTGAAACACCAGGAACAAGAAAACCACTTTTCTATATGCCCTGAGAAAAATGCCACTATATCACTCTCACCCCCTCCTCTTCTCTTCTGATTGTTGTTAATTAGATCTTGTTCAAGCAGCTTTCACAAACTTACTTTGACAACAGTGAAGGACTTTTGTCGGTGCAAAAGAAACTTTTGTGTGTTTATGGAATGTCGGACAATTTTTGTGGTGTTAGGAGGAGTAAAATGTGTTCTTGTATTACAAACATGCTGCAGGTCTCTCTCTCTCTCTCATCAGCAAATTAACTGGGTGTGAAATGAACAAAATGCATTATGCATATCATACTTGCGCCTTTTCTGGGCCTTGGATTGGAATCGAATCGTATCTTTACGTATAAAATAAAGATGTCCCTCAAGGTGAAGGACAAGGTAAGTAGCCAAGGCATGGTGCTCTGTTTTATGGGCTTTAGTTTTAGCTGAACTGTCGGTTGCCATCTTATTAAAGAGCGAAAATGCTATAATGAGGGCTTAAAGTGAGGAGGTTATTTGAGGAGGTCAAATCTCACCATCAACAAATGTAAAGAAATCATGAGACTTAAATATTTTAAATGTTTTGACGGTCGGATCGGTGAGTGAGCTCGTAGCTGCTTGCTATTACCATGAAGTTTCGCAATTCGTCCTTCTTGACCCACCATTGACGAGGCAATGCAACACGTTACACGTTATTGCCCATTACATTAAAATTTACAACTCAACTACCGCTACATTTGCTCGCTCTCTCTCTCCAATTTCATTTATTACCGTACATTAGAAAGAGAAAGCAGAACATAATTATTAATTAAACAAAGGGACGAGGAAGCTTTTGTCTTTCGGTTTGAAAATTGATGATAGACAGACAGACAGTCAGAGGGACCAGTCTCTCAATAGTAAATGTGGCTGGCAAGCAAGCACTAGTTGAGTTGAAGTCTCGTGTATTAGTTGACTCTCAACTCTAAAGTTGTCCTTGATGATCACATTGGCTGGCCACAACAATGTTTTAGTTTTAGTTGTGCAGAAGACGCCTGGTTATAAATCCATAAGTAAATAAATTCATAAATAAATTACAAGTAGTTGGGAAGGGGAGGGTTTGAGGATGATGGATCAAGTAAATCATAAACCGGGCTCTTTTTCTTGTTACCTCACCTCACGTCATGAGCTTATAAAGACATACAGTCTACAGACACGCGAAAAAAGTCAAGTAAAGCTCATGATGATGACAATATGTGGTGTGCAGTGGTGGTGGCCTGGCCTGGCCTCAACATTTTCTCTTCTTTCTGATTATTTTTATGGTTTTGGTTTTGGATGAGACTAGAAAGTGTTATAAAAGGGTCCATGTAAGGCTGACCAAATAAACCAGAACCCACAAGTTATTACTTACTAGGGAGGAGGAAGCCCAAGTCATGTATCTGTCTGTATGTACCTAAAAAGTTGCACATCAAGCCCATAAACACACGAAGTTTGAGCCCATATGTAATCATTTTCCTTTACTCTTATTTAGCAACAACCTAACCAGCAAAGACTTGGAGGATAACATTTTTTGCTATCCCCGGCTAGTAACGCAATAACACGTAGGACAACTTTTTCACATATCATTGTGTTATTGGCTGAGAATAACAAAACAGTGCTATCTCCGTTTTATGTAAGGTTTTTTAGTGAGGGGGAGGGGAGGAGGTTGATTGCTTGCAATTAATGTTCCCTACTCCACATGGACTCTACCCTTCTTACATTGGTTGACTTAACTTAATCTACAGACTATTGATCCTGACGTGAAATATAAATATATATTATATTTGGTAAATTGGATTGGAGTGGATTATTAGTTCTTATCGTTGTTTGATATGCTGAGATTGAAATTATTAAATAGCAAGTTTTTTGATATGCTGAGATTGAAATTATTAAATAGTACAAGAAGAATCCGACAAACGATGAGTGGAACTTATAAGAATTGGCTTAGAGAAAACTTCAAACTTCAATCCTATCACTACATGAGCATGATGGGCTCTTATAATGAGTGTACCAATTGCGTGAGGCGAAGAGTGCTGACGCCCTTTACAACATTCTGCTGACGCTGTAAATTATACTAGTCTACGCACACCATCTGAATTCTGAACCATTCCATACATAGGAACAGGAGTATTGACGTAGAATTGAGACCTTGTGGGACCCTTGTCTTGTTTTTAGGTTTTTATGAGCCCACCCCAGCACCAGACTTGGTGTGTAATTATGTATATGCCCTCGTGGGCCCCATTCCATTTCCTCCTCAAGTACCCCAAGGGCCAAGCCGAGCTAAGTTAGCTTCTTTTATTCGCTTCGCATCTGGCTTTTTATGCATTAATTAGCAGATATTTCATTGAGGCTGCATAAATAACAGCTGTCTAGCTGGCAGGATGATGATGCTCCTCCCTCCGTGTTGATTATGCCATGCGGCAGAGAGAACGTTCATTCAGGTTGTGATGCGAAGTGGATAATGTTAAAGTAAAGATATATATATATATATATATATGCACATGTGACATATGTTTCACATTCTTCCTCCATGTATGATGTATGATGTATGATGTATGATGTATGATGTACATTGTCCATAGGACCATACCATAAATATCTAAAGTAATAGAATTTCAACTCCTGAATCCTTATCTCATCGATTCTCTTATTAAAGTTAGAAAGAGAATCCAGGTTACCTGGAAATGGAATTCTCATGCATCCACTTGGATTCTATAATTCATATGCTCTCTCTAATTTGCCATGGAGATATATTTAATCAATTAAAAGTAAGTATATATGCCTTTGTCGACCTTTATATTCTTTCCTTAGCTCAGCAGCAGCAGCAGCCAATCTGCTACATACCAGCTTCCTATACTATACTTCATACATGTAGAGGAAAAATGAGTGTACGTATATATATTTATATAGCCAAGACTGTAGCTAGACTGTACGTATGCTTGTTTTTTAGTCCAAAACAGTATCCGTGCTCTGTAGCGTGGCATACTCCACGTCTGTGGCTTCTTTATCACACACACACACACACTCTCTCTCTCTCTCTTCCATGCAGACTGCACTAGTGAGATAGATAAGGTGCTTGCTTGTTCATTAGTATTATATTCAGTGGTGGTGGCGAAGGCGATTGTTCAAATTTGGACGGGTTCGTAGTACCAGAACCAAAATGAATTAATTACGAAATTTATCCCTTAGTTAAGGCCCTAATAAGTCAGCTTCTTCCTTTATAAGTTTATTTGTCGGTTCAAACCCTACATCCACCCTAATTATTAGCATGCTACATTTCAAGTTTCACGACAACACCTTTTTCAAGTAACTACTACTTTTCTTTTTCTTTGGGGTGGGGTAAGGGGTTTGACAGGAGGATGACAAAACCCTAATATATATACTCCTATCCTAACCTAATTGCTAACTATTCTAATATTTTAAAAGGTTTATATATCCTGCACTAATCTCTCATTTATTCTCTTTCATACGAGTAACGACATGGCAAACACAGAAATAAATTTCTGATTTTTTTAAAGAAAATTTACTCTACATTACAGGCTTTGGCTCATCGCCTGTGATTATTTGTTTTTTTCACTAATCAAAAAACAGAAAAATTGGAGTAGAGATTATTTCTAATTCAAGTTCAACAAATAGAAGGTTAGGCATCTGATTTTCGTGGGCAGAAAACCAGTGGCTCACGCTGGAATTGCCGCCACAAATAACGGCAAATCTGCCACCAAAACGTAGTCAACACGTGCCTAGCCACCTCACTCCCCCCCAGAAAGTCACGTGGCATTGGAAACCCCGCTAATCGTACGGACGCTCCTCCGCATCGCATTAGTTCAAAAAGCCCAGACCTCGCGAGCCCCTTGAGAGCCCACAAGCCAATTGACCGCGGGCTGCAATAACCGTCCTCCTACCCAATCACAACAAAACACGTCACGAAATACAGCTTACGAAGGTTTTTTTTCTTGTTAAACGACTTTTCAGACCCCGCGGCCCCTTTAATTTCTTTTACTTACTGCCGTTCCTTTCATTCTTCCTTCTCAAGTTTTTGACACACGCAAACACTCTCTCTCTCTCTCTCTCTCTCTCTGGTATTTCCTTGAATGTTGGAGGAGGCATCATTTTATAGAATCTTTCTTAAAATTATGTACTGTGAAGTATAAGATTGTCGGTTATTCTTAAAAACCCTTCTGTCTTGAGTTATTGGGTTGCTTGGATATTTCCGATTGATTTGGAACACAAAAATAATGGAGGATGAGTATTCTAAGTTCGTCAGGAGGATGAACCCGCCCAGGTATTTTTCCAACCTTGTGGGATTTTTATTTCTCTGGTAAAGTTTTGTGCTTTTGGGTTCCTGGGTTTTGTTTTGTCTTCATTTTTTGAGATGCCGGTTGGGAGTTCGTTGTATCATTGTATTGTACTGTGGTCTGTGATTTGTTCTGTTTTGGCTTCATTTTCTAAGCTTCTTGAATTATAATTTTGAACCGGGAGCGTTTCCTCTCGAGTCTGGTTTTCCACCCTTGTTATGTTTTCTGAAGTTTAATTTTACACCGTTTGGTTGATGAGAAAGCAGAGGAAAAGAAAGGAACATGAGTCTGAAGTTTTAGTTTTACACCGTTTAGATGTCCTTTTCCTTTTCATCTGGTTAAATTTTCATGATAATTATAGTAAATAAGTTGTACCCACAAACTTCTTGAGCTCTCCTGAGTTTTATTTTACTTTTTCCCTTTTCTTTATTTTCCAAATATGCTAACCAGGCCAAGGGTTCCATTTTGGATTATGTATGGCATATAAGAGTTTATTTGGAACCTCCCTCTTCAAGAAACTTCTTGGTTTGGGCCATTTGATTGTCCTCTTCTTTCAAGTGTGTATGAGAAGCAAGAGGCTTAATCTGATTTGCCTCTTGTTCTTGCAGAGTTGTGATTGACAACGATACTTGCGAGGATGCCACTGTTATCCAGGTGAGGCTTTGCACCTTCTGATTTTTTTTTCTCTGTTTACTTATCATATGTATTTGTTGAAATCAGTTATGTAATACGAGAGTATATCTCGATTTTTAAAATTCGGTTGAAGAAGTATTGGATATCTTTTTCTTTTGCCGTCAGTTTAATATTTTCAAGTTTTATTTAGGTTGACAGTGTCAACAAACATGGAATCCTCCTAGATGTTGTCCAAGTGCTCGCAGAAGTAAACCTTATAATAACAAAAGCTTACATCTCATCTGATGGGGTGTGGTTCATGGATGGTAAGGGTTTTTTTTTCAACTTCCCAAGTCAGGAGTTAAAGAAGAAAAATATGAGCTTCCCTATTTCTCTCTTTGTCCCCACCCTTTTATCCTTTTATCTTCTTCCTTGCTAAGAATTTTTCTAAATTTTCTGTTTTCAGTGTTTAACGTGATTGATCAGAATGGGAAAAAAATCAGAGACCAGGACATTATCAATTATATTCAAATGGTATGTACTTGACCCCTTTGCTCTTCCTCTGGCTGTTAAGAAGTCAGAGGAAATTATCAGAAATGAAATCTTGTCTTTTGTATTCTTTCCTGAAGATGAAAATCATAATTCAATTTAACCAAACAGTTATGCTATGCTCAGTTTAGGGGATTGTTTGTCTCTTAGTTCTTAAACAATTTGAAGTAAGATGAATGGGATTTCCTTTGACAGCACCCAAATTCCTTAGGTTTGGTATAGATCGGATAGCCTGTCACACCATTCATATTTGGCATCCTATTTTTGCTCATGTTCACCTTTCTGTGTCACCTATAAACTTGGTCTTTGCGTGGACCACAATATATTGACTTATGGGAAAAGCTTGTAATTTTTCATTTGACTTTTTAATTTTGCAGAGACTTGAAAGCAATGCCGGCTTTGTACCCTCTATGAGAGATTCTGTTGGTGTGATGCCCTCAGAAGAGCACACCTCAATTGAGCTCAGTGGTACCGACAGACCTGGTTTATTGTCTGAAGTGTGTGCAGTTCTTGCAGACCTTCACTGTAATGTGGTAAATGCTGAGATATGGACACACAATGCTAGAGCTGCTGCTGTAGTTCATGTCACAGATGATTCCACTGGTTGCGCAATTAAAGATCCAAACCGTCTCGCTACAATTAAGGAGTTACTTTGCAATGTTCTCAGAGGAAACAGTGAGTTGAAGGCCGCTAAAATGACACTTGCAACCCCTGGAGTTACAAACAGAGATAGAAGGTTGCATCAGCTTATGTTTGCCGACAGGGATTATGAAAAGGTTGAAAGAGCAGAACTACAGAGAATTGAGGATAAGGGCTCAAGACCCCATGTAACTGCGTTGGATTGCAGTCAGAAGGATTACACTGTCGTTACCATGAGATCAAAAGATCGACCAAAATTGTTATTTGACATCATCTGCACTTTAACGGACATGCAGTACGTGGTTTTTCACGGAATGGTCAATACAGGGAGGATGGAAGCTTATCAGGTAAAGATAAATTCTTTCTGAAGTTGCTCTGAGTTTGAGGGAATAATCATTGGTCAGTACTTATATTTCCTAATGAAATGGTTCTGGTTTGCCAAGCCAGCAAAGCGCAGCTGGATTTGACGAACTGATGACCACTTTAAACCTTATGCTGACCTCACTCTATCGGGTGAAATGCTCTTCCAATTTCTTGCACCTGGGGTTGGGGATATGTTTGTTCAAAACTATCTTCTCATTTACATCTAACACGAGCCGTATATTTCTTTTTTGTAGGAATTTTATATTCGACATGTTGACGGGCTTCCTATAAGCTCAGAAGCTGAGCGAGAACGTGTTGTACAGTGTCTTGAAGCAGCCATTGAAAGGCGGGCATCTGAGGTGCAGTGAACTTTTAACTGATGAGAACTCTTGTATTCAATTATAATGATACTAATACATCTTGCTTTGCCATGCAGGGGCTGGAACTACAGCTGTGCACAGACGACCGGGTTGGACTTCTCTCGGATATCACCCGGATATTCAGGGAGAACAGCTTGTGTGTCAAACGAGCAGAAATTTCAACTAAAGGTGGCAAAGCTATAGACACTTTCTATGTCACAGATGTGACAGGAAACACAGTTGACCCGAAGATTATTGATTCAGTTCGCAGGCAGATTGGGCAGACCATACTGCAGGTGAAACTTAACTCAAGCCCCCCACCAAAGGCCCCTCAAGGGACAACAATGGGATATCTCTTTGGGAACTTATTTAAAGCTCGAAGTTTCCAGAATTTTAAATTGATTAGATCCTACTCATAGTTTCTCTTTATCTTCTTGGAAGTAAAATCTGTAAAAAGAGGTAGCAGATGTTTCAAGACAGAAGTACACATAAACTAAAAAAAACGTTGTAAATAGGCACCTGGAAACCAAAAAAACGTTGTAAATAGGCAATGCTCCGAGGGTTACACGTTATATGCCATATAATACTCTATACTGTAAAGCTACTGGTTGGGTTTGTATATCCTACCTCCTGTAAACAAATAATGTATAGTGTGATGTGCAGAGGTTGTACAAAGATAGAAAAAAAGGTTGTACAGATATTTTAGCTCAATGAAAAATGATGTACATATTTGAATTGTTTGCAGTTTTAATGGGTTTTCTCTCATTTTCTGCCTAAATTTATGATTTCTGCAGCATTGTTGAGTTAATCTAAGCCGGAGCTGTTTCATTTCAACATTTCTGTCCTTTTTTTTTCAACACTACTTTGGCAATTCTTTCTGTTTTTTTCCCCCCCTCTCTTTTCTGCTTGAACTGTTCTGTGCAGTGTTCATTATATCATACACATGTACAATTTTTTTTCCAAGTGAATTCTCAACTTAAACAATGCATTTTTTCCAAGTGAATTCAAAAAGGGACAAATACAATACAATGCATCTTAATGACGCAAGACAACCTATCAAAAAAGAAAAAGAAAAAAGACCCAGGTCACAAAATTGAGAGCCAATCCTAACAAAGAAGGAAAATGATCCAGACGGTGCGTTACGAGCCATTCTTCTTGTATTGCTGTATCCGACACCAACTCTCTTCCGTCAATGAAAACTTCATCGGCAACGGAGTTGGCAAGTCGAATAAGCCGAGTTCTAATCTCCGCTTCGAACCACACAAGGCCGACCCGCTCATGGAACCCTTCACTCGAGAACATTCTTCACCAGCTCGGTTGCCGCGACTCACTGAGTCCGTCACTCGTGGCCCGAGTTATCGACCCCTTCCTCCTCACCCACCATTCACTCGCTCTCGGCTTCTTCAACTGGGCTTCCCAGCAACCATCCTTCTCTCACACCTCCATCACCTATAAATCCGTCCTCAAGTCTCTCTCTTTCTCCCGCCAATTCAACGCCATTGATGCTCTCCTCAAGCAAGTCAAAGCCCAGAAAATTAGCCTCGATGCTTCTGTTTATCGCTCCGTAATTGCTTCACTTATCATAGGAAGGAAAACCCACAACGCGTTTCTGGTCTTTAGCGAGGTTTCCTCGCTAATTAAAGATATTGGGCACGAGATTTGTAACTCACTTCTGGCTGCTTTAGCTTGTGATGGATATTTTGAGTATGCCCAGAAGGTATTTGATGAAATGACTCTTGAGGCTATCCCTTTAAGCACTCTGGGGTTTGGTGTGTTTATATGGAGGCTCTGTGGACATGCTGAATTGGGTAAAACTTTGAGCATGTTAGATGAGGTTAGGAGAGGTGGTTCAGAAATTAACGGGTCAGTGACCGCGCTTTTGATCATTCACGGGTTTTGTCAGGCTTCGAGAGTGTCAGAGGCTTTCTGGGTATTGGATGAGCTGAGGAGTAGACAGTGCAAACCCGATTTCATGGCATATAGGATTGTCGCCGAAGCATTTCGATCGACTGGGAGTGTAGTTGATGTAGAAAAGGTTTTGAAGAAGAAGAGAAAGTTAGGTGTAGCTCCAAGGACTAACGATTATAGACAGTTTATATTTGATTTGATTTCAGAGAGGCGGATATGTGAAGCAAAAGAATTGGGTGAAGTAATTATTAGAGGGAATTTTCCGATTGACGATGATGTTCTCAACGTGTTAATAGGATCAGTGTCGGCGATTGATCCTACCTCTGCAGTAGTGTTCTTCAGATTTATGATTGAAAAGCAGAGATTCCCAACTCTTTTGACTTTGTGCAATTTGAGCAGAAATCTATGTAAGCATAGCAATACCGATGAGTTGTTGGTAGTTTTTCAAGTTTTGTCTTCTGGCGACTATTTCAAAGATTTGGAGACTTACAATGTCATGGTGTCATTCTTGTGCAAAGCAGGGATGGTGAAAGAAGCATATGGGGTTCTTCAGGAGATGAAGAAAAAAGGGTTATGCCCAGATGTTTCGACTTATAATTCTCTTATTGAAACATGTTGTAGAGAAGATTTATTGAGGCCTGCCAAAAGGTTATGGGATGAGATGTTTGCAAGTGGGTGCAGAGGAAACTTGAAGACTTACAATATCCTAATTCGGAAGTTTTCGGAAGTGGGTCAGGTTGATGAGGCGCAAAGGCTCTTTTACCACATGTTGGGTAAAGGGGTTGCACCTGACGTGATGACATACACATCTCTACTTGAAGGGCTTTGCCAAGAAACGAAGCTTCAAGCTGCTTTCGACGTTTTCCACAAGTCTGTTGAACAGGATTTTATGCTTGCACAAAATGTGCTGGGTACATTTACTCGCTCTTTGTGCAAAGCAGGTATGTTTCTGTACACATGATGATATATGTAATGGATGTTTAAGTTTTCACATCATATACCTTTATGCTACCCCAATAAATTGTCCAGTAGAATGTGCTAAGTTGGTAGTTACAAGTGTTTTGGCCTGTTGCTTATATTTGTTTGTGCTCTATGCAGGTTTTTTTCTTGATGCTTCTAAGTTACTATGCGGCCTCAGTAATGATGTAGCACAGTCAGATTCCCATGTAATTTTGCTGAAGTATTTAGCCGATGCTAAAGAGATTCCAGTTGCTATTGAACACGTTAAATGGGTTCGACAAACCTCACCCTCGATGTTGCAAATTGTATCAGCTGAACTTTTAGCATCCCTGTCTTCTTCTTCAAGACTAGAGCCAACTCGACAGTTGGTTCAAACAATTCAGGAAATATCAGGTCTCAAGTAATAATTCTTGGAAAGATTTTCAGGTCATGTTAGGTTAGTTCAAAGTATAGAAGTTGGCGTCTGGATATTTTAATTTCAACGATCAATTGCAGGTTCACTATCATTTGTTTGCTCTGCAATTCAATCTAATACCACATGCTGTTTGTTAGGGGTTTTCTTTTCTTAATTCATGTGTTTATGTCTAGAGAGAGAGAGAGAGAGAGAGCCTACTTTAAAATATAATTGTGCGTAATGCATATCTCATCTTTTTTGAATTTGCCAATCCTCAACATCATCGATTGTCATGCTTTGCTCCCTAAATTTTTCTCTATGATTCTCATTGTCGTCATTCACCACTTTGGTGTGTTGTTGCACCACCAGAATTCTGCTTTTGCCCATGAAATCTGCTGTGGCTAACACCTCCCCGATTGCTCCCAACTCACTCTGCTCATTCTCATCCATAAACCCTGACAGGACCAGTGACCTTTTATCTTGATTTCTTCCTGCTATTACTAGTTCATAGTTATTTTCCATGGAACGGATCACTGCCATTGTCCCTGAACCATCCATCACCAGCTCTTCTATGTACATGACCCGATAGTTGTCTGCCATGCCTTCCCTGAACTCACTCAACACCTCACAGTCAAGCCTGTTGTCCTCCACATCCTCACTAGTATTTGTTATGCTTCCATCTACAAGAAGCCGAACTAAGGTCAGGTTGATGTTTGGATGGGCAGCCATTCGTGCCCCGAACGCCAGTGCCTCTCGGTCATCAGCTCCGCCCAAGAAGAGAATAGCAACATTATAGCAAGACTCGTTCTGGCATGTCAACGTCATTGCCCCTGAACGGCTGTTGAAACTGCTGTCGAAGAGCCCACCATGGTGAACAAGGATTGCGACAGAGCAAGGTGCTTTCTCAAGTACATTTTTGTTGATCATCCTCTGTTTTCTGGCATGGAATCTCTTGTAGAAAGGAACTATAATGAGGGAAGTCTTTTTATCAAGTGCAATTGTGCACACATCATCGTGCATTGTGGCACAAGGAGATATAGCGGTAAAGGGGTGAACTGTGACAAGACTCTCGTTCCTTTGCTCGTACTTTCTAAAGGCATTGACAACTGGTTCCGAGGGACTGGCCTTTGAGGAGGGCCTTCTTGTGAGCTTGTGGGGGATGAGCAGAGGGTTTGCCCGGCCGACAAGCTCGATGAGATGGAGGAGATAGATGGCAAGAGGGCTTCTTTCGGTGGGGTATAAAGCCTGAAGGAGGTTGATTGTGGGTTCAACATCTTCTTGGTCGTGTATGCCGACGAGTACCGGAAGCTGGGAGTTTGGTCGGGCATGCATCACTGTTCTTCTCTTGTAAACCATGTACCTCTTTGAAGGATCGTAGAGGCGTTTTATAATGGGCGTGATACCCCCTGTTATAAGTATCATGGATGTACACATGACAACAAATGCTTCATTATCTATCGCCTGTAAAAAAGCACAAAGGTTTAAGAAATTAGATGGGTTTTTTTTTCACTTTCTTACGGTTCCGTTCATAATCCGATTATAGGATATTGGAATTGGATTGGCTGCATAGGGCATACCATAGTACTCTTGAGCATTTTAAACAAGCCAAGCTCGAGAAAGCCTTGGGCATTCAGGACAAGGCCAAGCGAGATAGCATCCGTGATTGGCATTTTGGTGCACAAGAGTGAAGTCAGAAAAGCTCCCATAAACTTGCCAAATGCACCAACGAGGGCAGTGGATTGCAAGATGGTATAATTCTTGAGTCGAAGGGCGCAGAGATCCATAACCAAACCATTTTTGGCGTAGAAGATGGGCATAAAGACCCAGGAGATGATGAGGTCGAGCTTCTCCACGAGAGCAGACCCGACTGGTGGCCCTGCTGGTATCGTCAACCCAAGAATGAAAGGTCCAAAGTATGTGTGTAAACCTGTGGCATGACTGAAAAGGCCAGTCACCATGACCCCAAGAAGTAGATGAACCACGTGACTTTCCTTCATTGGCTGTCCCACTGGGCTCGACCTCCGCATCATCCATTTGAGTACGGGCCAAATGACCAAAACGATGACAAGCGCAACCACAGCACCGGTGGCCACTACTGATAGTACGTTGTATGTATCATTTCCGGACGATATCTTGGCCACAATAGAGATTGTCATCACACAGAAGCTGCACAAGCCGCTCACAATGGAAGAAGACATTGCCACCCTCCCAAAGTCAGAGTTGATGATCTTCAGCTCGTGCAGAAAGAAAGCGATGGTTGGGAAGGTCAGCATAGACTCTGCTAGAGCCACAGCCGGAAGTGAATTGGCGAGGTTCGTCTCCAAATTGACGTGGGTTTTCAAGAGAGCAGACCATCCTTGAGTCAATAGACAAGGGATGGCCACTGTCACAAACCCAATGGCAAATGTCTTTCTGTCGACCTTCTTGACGATGGAGGGATCGGTTTGCACTCCGATGAGGAAGAAGTAGAACATGAATCCAAAAGAGGAAATAACATCCAGCAGTATGAAACTTCTGAGAGGAAAAAAACTATCGATAAATGCATCAATCCGGCCTAGAATCGAAGGACCTAGTATTATACCCCCCTGTTAGGTAAATCATAACCAATCAACAAAATTTTATATTTTTTTTGTTTTTATTTTGCTATTTTAAAATACAATAAAGTTTTGCATTATGCTGCATGCATGCAATGTAAACCTAAACCTCTGTTTTTCTTTATTTGTGTTGCAATGAGAGATTGAATTTGGAAATGGAAAGAACTTGATGATGGTGTATAATGAATGATATAGAATAATATGGAGGTACTTACTAAGACTTGCGCGACGATGATAGGTTGGCCGAGAGGCTTGAGAAGGAGATAGGTGAGGAGGATAACACCAGTGGCGAGAGAGAATTGCATGAGAAGAAGAGGGGCTGAATAAAGCAGGGGATTATTATGATAGAAAAAGCCCATGGAATGTATCATGGTCACCGACGTACAAATGGTGGTGAAATTCTTGAGCGGAATTGAATGGGTGGCGGCGTAGGTTGCTATGTCCTCCGGTTCCATAGCAACGGAACCCATGGCTGTAGCTAGGCAGGCCTCTCTGGCCTTACACAGGCTAAGCCTGGGAGGACGTACGTTCCAACGACAACCCTCAACCCAATCTCAGAGGAAGAGAGGGACACCCAAAAAAAAAAAAAAAAAAAAAAAAAGCACTGATCAAAGAAAACCAGAGAGAAATAGAAGGAGAAGAGAAACTCAAGTGCAACGTGGTGGGTCTAAATTTGACGTTGACTATGATATGACTGGCAACTTATTACTCCTGACGCGTATACAGCAAGCCAGAGGCTTGAATTATAAAGAGTCATCCAAATATTTTGGGAGGGGAAGGCTTACGTCCAGCCTCGGTGAAATCATGTATATAATGTAACATCATCTTCTTAATTTATTTATTTTTTCATTTCCTTTTTTCCTTTTTATATTGTTGAAATTATCATCCAAGTGAACGCACCATCTGCAAATATCCGTTTTCTGGATGATTCGTCTGTCATCTCATAAGAAATTGATAATAAGAAAATAATAATAAGAAAAACCAAATTAAGGACAGTTTGTTGTAAACAATTGTTCTTTTCATTGATACACTGGTACAAAAATTGACACTTGTCAGTGACCTCTCTTCCTCATGTACACTAGTCCGGTCAACCACTGTAAGGCTTCAAAACTACGTAGATGCTCTGACTTTGAAACAAGAAGAATGGATAACTTTAAAGGGGAAAAAATCCTAAGATATCTATGTTTCTTAAATTTTCTGTACAACTTCTATACCAAAAAAACCGAAATCTTACAGGATGCAAAGCATGTCTCAATCATCAAGTCGATGGATCTCGCCCATCAGTATCCGGTTGCTGGAAACCTTAAAACCAAGGAGAGCAGGATCAATCTGCCTTCCTTTCTTCCCTTTCTTCTTGCCACTTCGCCCCACTTGGCTACCTCCATCAGACGACTCCAATGCGGATGCTGCTCTGTTGGCTGCATCAGCCTCTACAATGACTGGTTTCTTGAGCATGTCTATGAATGATGTCTCGGACACAGAAGCATCACTGCAAGATGAAGTCCTCCTAAATTGCGCATCATTCTTGCTAGATGTCTGAGTATCAGAGAAAAGGGTTGCGGCCGGATTTCTTTGCTTGACAGGCAGAGATAATGCTGCCTCAGACAAGACATCCTGGGAAGATAAAACCCGGCGTCTATGCAAAGCATTGTCAGACCCTTTGGTTATAGCAGAAGGCAGCCTGTCAATGGAGCATAAAGAATACAATAAGACTGATAATAGTCTGACAGGGAATTCAGAATATGCATTAGGAGATATCCCTAATGTGCACACTGACAACAACACATAATGAAAATAACACTATTAAGTGTTTATTAAAGGAAACAAAATCAGTTACATCCACCAGCTAATTGCACATCACTAGAGAATCATGAATAATCAAAATGACGCACATAGGGATACAAGTAAATGCAAAGTGACCATAAACCAAAAAAATCAAACGAAAAATTCTATTACACAAAGAAAGGAAAAAAAGAAAAAGAAAAAGAAAAAGAACACTACCTCCCATTAGAAACCTCTTCTCCAATCTGTTTATCTAATCCTGTCTCTGAGCTGTAGAAGTTCCCGCATCCACCACCTGTACCATTTAAAGAGTTTCAAACTCGTTTAAAATGAAAATGAGATTAACTAAAAATTAAGATCATTTGACAAATTACCAGCACTGCTTAGTGAGCTATGCCTGCTATGGGCATTACTACGAAGTTCCCCGCAATCAATTGCAGTTTCTTCTTGGTCTGTCACGTTTACTTCATACCCTGAAACTGACCTGTTCAACATGCCTTTCACCCCTTGTTTCTTCCAATTATTACCCTCCAACTCTGATACACCATCACTCACAGCTGATTTACACATGAAGCTAGTATCCACATGAGAAGTATGAGAAACTTCCCTGGGTCCAGACAAGAACAGCTGATCCTCCATAAATGCTCTGGAATTAGATCTAAACGGAACTCTTTCAGTAGTTGCCAGATTGCTTGACTGTTCATTCATACCTACACCACCCAAATGGTCCTGGAACAAGACACTATAGTTGGAATTCTGTGGTCCTTCTGTGTTTATACCAACTGGTTGATCCCGGAGAAGACTGAATGGAAGATGTACAGACTCTCCCCGACTTCTGGAAGATGATAATTGATGCTGATAATCAACTTCTGACAACTCTGTAGATTGATGACCCAGTTTTTGGTGAAGGTCCATCAAAATTTGTTTTGAGTGTTCCTTATCACCGTTAGCCCATATATTTGACTCAGCAAAAGCCATGGTAGCTTCTGAATCTCGTCGTTTTTGTTCAGCATCAAGATGCAAATGCGGTCGATGTGCTTCAATGCAGCTATTTTCCAGCTGCCCACTGTTCCCACAGGGCAAGCGTTCCAAACCAACTGAATGAGAAGAAAAAAACTCATCAGAAACCAGTTGACTGTTAGAGGGCATCCCAGAAGAAATGGAGTCCTGTTTATCAATAGAGCACTTACGCCGATACTGATCCTGCAAATCTAGACCCTGACCACATGCATTCTGAATATCAAAGTTCATCCCATGTCGCTCCCTTGAGGCATGATTCCAGTTGAGATGGCTTAGTTGCTGTTCATGGGTGGGAAACCTCTGCTGTTGCTGGTAATTTTCTGAAGAACTAAATGCAAGCATCTGAGCCTGGTGATGGCCAGCAGGATCCCTGGCAACATGACTTGCTTCATCTGCAAACCAAGGACCACCTAAACGTCTTTCCCCTTCCATCTGCAGCTGCTCCCTCAATGCTACAGATAACTGCTGTGCCTGCAACTCTTGCTGCTGAAAACGAAGTTGCAGCTCTGAAGGGTGCATATTCCCTTGCTTGGCCTGAGATATGAGGTCAAGAAAATCAGTCTGTCCAGGGCGTCCTATATTTGCTTGGATGATCTGCTCTAGCAATGGATCTTGTATGGAGGAATGGGAAGGGTGCAAGTCATTTGGAAATTGCTTCCTTAAACTTAATTGATCTAAAGGGTTGCCATTTGTGGCATCAATCTTCCATTGCCCATAACCAGAATCAGACATCTGTTGATGTAAAAATTGTTCAAGGAGCAAGTGCTGAGTTTGAGATTGCTGTTGTTGCTGCAGTTTCATCTGGTGATGGTGAAGCTGCTGCTTCAAGTGATGCTGTTGCTGAAGCTCCAACTGACGCAGGCGTTGCTGAAGTTCCAGCTGACGCTGGTGTTGCTGAAACTCCAACTGACGCTGGTGTTGCTGGAGCTCCAACTGACGCTGACGTTGCTGAAGCTCCAACTGATGCTGATGTTGCTGAAGCTCCAATTGGTGATGCTGTTGACGAAGCTCCAACTGACGCTGCTGTTGACGCTGTAGTTCTAAGAGATGTTCTATATCTGCAACAGGATGATGGAACGGCTGGATATTAGGGTTATTGCTGTCAGAAAAACCAAATCCAGGGAATTGGTCTACACCAGTCCCTGCACCATGCGCAGCAGGAAGCAGAGATGGGTGGTTCAGCTGCTGAAGCCGTTCTTTTAGTAACTTCTGTGGCATTATATGCTCAGCAAGGCCAAAGCCACTGATCTCTTTCCCCATGCGAGAAAGATGGTGAGCATCTATAGAACCCAGACTAACATTAGTGTTATTTCTTATATAATTATCAGACTGTGTATCCACAAAGGAAGGTTGATCAATCATGGGACCAAGGGGATTCTGACTAACAATAGTGGCACCTCCCTCAAAGAAAGAATCTCTTAACTGAACCTGATCATCCATGCCTAAAGATGCATGGGATGATTGAGCAGACCTTAAATGGGAACTACCTCTAAGCTCCGACATCAACAGGCCAAATGGATGCAACTTATCATTCTGCTGACTAGGCAGGTTAGTTTCTGAAACTTCATTTGAAAGGGAAGGAAGGGTAGGAGAATTTGAAATTGAGCCATGAATATCCGCTGAAGACCTCAAAAGGCAATCACTGCTACTTTTAGGCCTTCCAGGAAATACAATTTCTGCATACAACAAAAAAGAGAAGCAATTAAAGTGACAACATAGACATAAATGATAACATAGAAAATGATAAGACACATAACACACCTTCATCTTCTGCAACAAAATTTTGAATGCTTTGATTGTCAAGGTACTGGAGTTCAGACTGATAACTATGATTAGGCATTCTTGATTGAACACTACCACTTGAGGTAGCCTCCAATACAGATGGAGTCCACTGCTGACTATTTAGAATATTAGGCCCCCCGTAGTTAGGTGCAGATATTCTCTCTTCCAAGCTGCCTTTAATGACATCCAACGGCTCTAGCTTAGCATGCAAACTAGAGTTAGAGACATATCCAGATTTAGTTTTCAGATGTGGCATCACGTCACCAAGTTCTTGATAAGGAGATCCATCGGGGGCATCAAACAAGCGGACTGGTAAGTCAATTCCAAAAAACCCTTGCTCAAACCATGCGATTATGTCAATCCCCAAGAAAGGTCCCTGGGTGTTCCCTTGAGGATCAAGATAGCACAAACTTAAATCCTCGGGTGAGACAATTCTGTCCGACACATGTGCCTCGTTGCTCTTGACATAGTGACGATCACTGCTTGAGGTTTGCTGTAAAGACGGAGAATAAAATAAGGAACTTGGATTATTAGGAAGCTGGCTATCAATTTCAACTGTATCTGATTTAACATGGTCCAACAAAGGATGCTTCTGCAAACCAAAATATCTCACCTCCTGGTATCCAGAATTTCTCAGTTCAGTAACATCATTGCTGGGGCCATCAATCCCTCCATCAGCCAGTTCTTTGACTGTCAGAACTTTCTGCTCACCTTCAGTAGCAACACTTTCTGGAAAAAAATGGAGTGTTTTAACATACAACACATGACAACAATACCAATAGTATCAAACGAAGGAATCAGAATATTAGGTTAAAACTGCTTTTCCTTACCCTTTAAAATATGCGCCTGTGAGCCACAAATAGGTGACACCTCAGGACCAGTAACTTGAAAAGAATTGTTTAAAATGACCTCTCCAGTAGATTGGACATTTTGTTCACTGTTAGCTGCAAAGTTTCCTTCCTCTTTACTTAAAGTGACATTACTAGTTCCTGAGTAAATGAAAAAACTTGTATCAGAAAAAAAATGATGAGGATTATTAGGCATGAGTCCAACAGAATGCAACCTAATACCTTTAGAATCATCATTTAATACATTCTTGTCTTTAGGGGAGTTGTATAACACTCCACTGCTAGTAATGCTTCCCATTAATATATCTCTCAAACAAGCCTGAAAGCATCACATCAGTAAATAATGGTGATCATAGAAACATTTCACCACTTGCTTATTTAACTATGATAATTAGATATATATATATATATATATATATATGCAAGCATGTGTGGATATTTAAAAAAAATTTAGTATATAATCCATATACCTCTTCATCTGCATCAGGTGCAACAAAAGCCAATGGCTCAGTAGAGCCTACTTGGGTTATTGGTGATACATGCTCCATCCCATCAGGCATGGAATCAAAAGTTAAATCAATCTTTTGCTTACGATAAATGTCAAGGAGTTTCCCCCTCGGGTAGCAATACATATTGAGAAAGGGACTAGCTTTTCCTAATACAGGTCTGCCAATCTGCAGAGTTCCGTTAGTGTTTGACCTCCCTCGTCCAGCAGTAAATCCTACTTTTTCCACCTGTCCTCTGGCCATCCCAAATCCCGGTGCAGCACGATATGGGGCTGCCCCACCTGATTGAACCTCCATGCGATGGCGTGGCCTCCACTTATCCCTAGAATCACTATCACGTTCAGAAGCTGCGCGATTGCTATTGGAAAGAGACTGCTTGTCAACATGAATATCTTCCTTCTCAACATCTGTTTTTTTCTCTATTTGAGAGTCCTTGTCTTTATCTTCAGGGCCCCACCTTGATGACCATTTGTTATCTCTTCGGGATTCATGCCAGCGGTCAGAAGACAGCACTTTATTCTCAGTAACATCCTTAGTTGAAGTGGCACCTACATGGCGATCTTCTGCTCTACCATCAGTAGTACTAGTATCCCTAGTTGAAGTGACACCTACACGGCGATCCTCTTTCTTGCGATCCCTCCTACCAAGTAAGCCCGTTTCCCTCTCCTCCTCACGCCAGCGGCGGGTAATATCTAAATCAGGTGCATTCCTCCTCCAATCTTTTTTGTCCTGAGATGCATCTAAACGCCAAGTGTCTCTCGAATTGGGATCAGTAGAGTTTCCATGAGGCAAAGAGCCAGGTGCATGCATTTCCTGTCATTTTTATCGGTATTCAAAAATTGGTTAACTTTTAATCACTAGTCAACTATGAAGACAAAATGCACTAAATTCTTCTAATAGCCAAAAAGATAAGATCTAAAATTGGGTCCTAGCATAAATCATAGTTATTATTATTATTTTTTTCCAATTCAACCGATAGATCAGACGCAGGATTTAACACATTAAGCAAACCAAGAAATTGAATTCACAGGCTGGGCAGACATGAAAACGCAGAACGACAGAAGGGTATAGAAAATACAAATTGAGAGGCTTACAACCACACTAATGCACTTAAGGTACTAGAATTTCACAAATTATGGTGTGCAGAAAGATAAAGCTTTTTTAAAAGTGTAGAAGGAGGGAGAGAGAGAGTTAAGATACCAAAGTGTTCTGTGAAAAAAAAAAAAAAAAATCATTCGAAAAAAAATTGGACAAGTGTAGATGCACTTGTATTAAGCCACACTAACATTAAAGATTTAGTTAAAATCACTTTATTATAAACAACAGTAGAAAAGAACTGAAACACTGGACCACAAAAAACAAATATACTTGTATATATAGCTTATTGAAACAGCAATAAGAGCAAATTTGGAAAAGGAAAAAAGAAAAAAGAATTGCAATGTACATACTCCTGATGTTCCAGTAACTAGTGTCTTGGAATCAACTGGTTTAGCGTATAGCCATTGTGGAGACAAAGGTATGCTGCTCTCCGATGCTACTTGATCTGCAATTAAGATAATACTAAATAAATAAATTTACAGGCACCTGCGGTATTCATGATAAAAACAGTAAAATGATAGCCAATAAGGTGAAAGAAATCGCATGTGTAAAACATTGCAAACTTAGAAAAGGAGCACAACCACCAATTGACTCATCAAGGGACCCTGTTAGCGCCTTCTCCTCACCATTTCCTTCCAAGGCTTCATCTAACATGGCAAACAGAGAGATACATTTACTTAAATTTTTGGAAAGCAGAGTGTCCATAATATGAAAATTCAAGCAGTTCACCCACCGTAGGTGATGGAGCACAAGGGGTGTGATCCCAAAAAAAGAAAAGGACAGAAATTGTAAAAGGCGTAAATGAGTAAATCGTGTATTCTCCTCCCTGTAGTCTGGGACCTCAGGTCCTTTAATACAAAATGATATGAGATAAGGACAAGAATAGGGAGGGTGCCACGTTGCTAACTATCTAACGGATATACCCAGTATTCTGAGGTATTCCTTCTTAGGTGGCTAATTCTAGAGAGTTCTATTGTAAATGGTGAAGTTGGCTGGGTCATGGCCTTATGGGTTTCTCTGGTGGCTGGGCTGTAGCTAGGGCAGAGACTAGTCTCATCAGTAGGTAAACTTAAAATAGGGGGAAATAACAGTATTCGATACACTACTGAAATTTTAATGAAAATTACAAGCAAAAGACAGAAAGACTGTAACACTGTACTACTAATGAAAGACAAAGGACAGGAACACCTTCGCAACAGAATAATCCCAAATTTTGTGTTCAAATAAACAACAAAACACAATGCAATAACAATACCATGAACATCCAAAAGCTCTTAATGCATGAAATATAAATTATGTATATAAATGTAGGCGTACATGTATGTTATCTGAACATAATATAAAACTACTAAGAAAAAAGAATCAACAACACCAACCCTAATTAATCAGCTAGACGAATAATAGATATAGAAGAATAAAGATATGTATGTTAATATGAGATATGTATAAACACTTGTATAGGTACACTGACGAATTATTGAAACCAGGGCCAATTTGTAATAGCTACAAAGATCGAGGAGAAAAAAAAAATATATATATATATATATATATAATAACAAGAATGAGAATGATAAATAGCGAGAAAGGATGCAATGTGAAGAGATATGGATTGAGAAAAGCCCAAGAACACGAACCGTTGGTGGAGAAGTGTGCATCGGCCATGTTCGCGGGGAGGAGATCTTGAGGAAGACTGACTTTTCCGTGGGCCATCGGCATCCAAAACGATTCGAATTACAGAAGATTTCCAGGCAAATGTCGGAGAAGAGAGCGCGCAGCTAATTGTGCTTCGAGATGAGGATAGAGAAAGAGGAAACGAAAATAGCTTCTGCAATCGAACACTTGCAGATGACGTAAATTACACGGAGACAGACAGAGAGAGATTTCTAGGGCTTGAGGAATTGCAGGGCTGGCGAATAAGAGAGAGAGGTCGCAGAGGGTCAGAGAGAGAGGGTGAGGGTTTGGGATGTGTATGATCAGAACAACCGAAGCGAGTGTATTTTTGTGGAGACCTTGCAAAACTCTATATATGCAATTAAGGCACTGGAATTTGTTTTTTCAGTTTAAAATTTTAAAATATAACGAATTTTTTATTTTGGGGAAAAATAATTGCAAACTTTCTTCTTTTCCCAAATGTGTTTTTTCTTCGAATTTTTTTAATAAAGCATCTCTTCCAACAACAAAAAATGTTAATTAGGCAACATTTTCGCATCTATAAACGAGTTTTAAAAGTACTAAAATGAGAGGGAGAAATGCATAATCTTTAAATTGCATCAAAAGAAAGAAAGAAAAACTAATACACTGAAGGTGTAATAAACCCTAAATAAATAAATAAAACTTTACAAAAACATGTCCACTCTTCTTTCACCGCTCTCTTAAACATAGTCTATTTAATGATAATGGGTTCGTTTTCTTTGGAAAAAAAATAGATAATTGCCCTACCAACTAGCCTAACCCGTTTGTCCCAAAAAAACCCTAGCCAACTAGCCAAACCCACATATATGCAGGAAATGGATTAGTTAGCCAAATCCTGACCAACTAGCCAAACCTGCATATATGCAGGTAATGGATAATTAGAGTAAGTTCAATTTAGGTTAATCACAGTTAAATGAACCAAAATAAAAAATGGAAAACCATAATAAATAAATGGAAACCAAACAGAACCTTAAACCCTATTTTATTCTATGACTAAGATACCAGAAATATCATCGCACAGAAATTGTAATCATGAAATGTAAAATAAATGATAATCATTAGAAAGCCCAACAGCCATAACAAAAAGGGCATGTCCATGAATAAGTCTAATCCAAACAGCTAAACAACATTGCAGCTTTAACCTCAGACACATCCTCAGGAAACAAAACCTCTGCGGTTGATCTAAATAAACTTGAACAATCACAATTCTAGAACCAGACTAGGACAATCTTATCCTAAGTAAAAAACAAATTCAAGATCAACCAAAATTTAATTCATCCTTTGAGCAGCTTCTTTTGCAAGGAGCCTCTCTTTCGCCCTAGTTTTGGCCTGGGATTTGGAACCCATGATGCCGCCGCCCCACTTTTTCCTGTACTCATCATACTTGTCATTGAAGTTGGCCTGCAACAACCAAGCGAAACACCACGGATTAAGCATTCAACCAACCAAAATACGAACAAGTACAAGCAACAGCATCAACAAAAATTAGCATACCTTGATTGCCTCTAGCACCTTGCTGAACTCCAATTTATCTTCATTCTTGACTGTTGTCAAGCACAAAACTGATGCAGTTTTCTTATGGACAATCTGACAGAAAAGTAAATAAAAGTTTGTTCGGTCCTAAATTTTTGTCAAAGAGGTCAAGAAAGAAGAGAATGCAGACATGTAAGTAAAATTACCGATCCCAAGCGTGCTTTGCCCTTCACTATGCAATATGGGATTTCCATCTTCCTACATAATGCAGGCAGCCAAACCACCAACTCTATTGGGTCAACATCATGTGCGATAACAACAAGCTGGGCTTTGTTCTGCAAGCAAAATGCAATTGAAAAACAAAAATCATTACACAAACTCACATTGACAAGGAATATAAAACACATGCAAGTGGCAGGGAACAAGACCTGCTCAATGAGGTAGGTGACATGGTTGAGACCATATTTCACAACAATAGGTTTTTTGGCTTCAACAGTTTTTCCCTCAGACTCTGCTTGTGCCCTCTTCAAAAGGCGCTCCTTCTTTGCTGCTTTGTCTTCTGGCCTATACTTGAGAAGCATCTTGAACAGGCTGGTAGCTGCACAACGGTTTAGGAAACAACGTTCTAGTTTCAGTATTTCCACAAAATACAACGTACATTATACATACAACACATCAAGCATCAAATCATGAAAACGGGTTACAAGGCATAACTAGATACAATTTCAAACAAGTCCAGGAAACAACCCATTATGCTAAATGTTGGTAATAGCTAGCAACAACATTCCACATTTCCTTCAACATACTGCCAAACTTTGAGATTCAACAAAATGCACAGCAACATGGAACGTATAACGGAAAAGTGGTATTGCAACATAACACAGAATTAAGAAACTTGTCAATGGCAGTCTTGAACAGACAAAGAAACTGCTCAATAAACTTATTGATCCAATCTAAATTTCAACCACACTGTCTAATGTTCGCCCAAAAGAAAAACCTAACAGTTATATTTAGATTAACAAACAATCATCTCCATAAAAATAAATTTTAAGGATAAACAAAAAGAAAAAGAAACAAGAGAAATGTGAGGGTTAACATGATTACCCAGGTTCTTGTCTAGGGTCTTGGTGAACTGGTTCAAAGCTGGTGGAACCTTCAACCTCTGCTTGAGGATCCTTTTCTTCCTCTGAACTTGAACAACCTTGGGCCATTTGACGAAACGGGTAAGATCTCTCTTTGGTGGCAATGCCCCTCCAATCCCAAACTGCTTGGGACGTTTCTCGAACAGTGGGTTCACCACTTTCTCCTGTAGCCACCACAAAAAAAAAACCATCACAATCACCATATACACCCTAACACTCATCTATTAAAAGAAGCAAATAGCAAAAATCATTATACAATATATTGACATAGGAAATACGTACCGTCTTCTTCTTCGCTGCGACTGGAGCTTTGACACCTCTTTTCGGAGCCTGCATCGATTAGGTTGAGAAAGCACAAGAACATGTTAAAAGGAAACGAAGACGTTGATGATTAAATACAAGTTCCTATGCAGCCAGAGATAAAAATGGGAGACAGATGGTGATGAAGAAGAGTCTGCTACTCACCATTTGCGCAGGCTGCTCTTGGAGTTTGCTGGGTACCTCTGAAACCTGCGAACGGCGTAAACCCTAGAAGAAAGCCTCACGATTTATATATTATCTAACTGCACCTTTAGGGGCTGGGCCTTGAAATGAATTAAGCGCTGGACATATTTTGGGCTGGGCCTTGAAATGAATTAGGCTCAATTTCAAAATATGGGCCCCCGGCCCAAAATATAAAAAAGTAAAAAAAAGATACGACGTCGTTTGGCATCACGTTCACGAAGAAAGCCCGTCACTCTTTGCTGCAGCTGGACGCACTTCGGTTTGAAGAAATGCGGTAGGTGAAACCGGCAAAAACAGCAATAGCTGCAGCAACTGACAACAGCAGCTGAACATGAACAACCGAAATGTCGTCGTCTGCGACAATGGCACCGGGGTACTCTTCTCCTCTGTCTAACTTTTCTTGTTTCTCTCACAAGCACAGTAACGCACAGTATTCTGATCTGCGTTGAAAGATTTCATCGATCCAGCACATATTGACACTTTCTTTCTTGGAAGTTTGTTTGGTGTTCGTAAATTTGGAGTTAACTGATTCAGAGGCAGAGCTGAAAATCAAAACTTGACCTCTGTTTTGGATCTGTAGGTGTTAGAATCATCATCATCTACTTTTGGTTTGGTAACTTCGTCAAATTTGTTTGCTTTAATTGCAGTATGTGAAATGTGGCTTTGCTGGAGAGAATTTCCCTACCTCTGTGTTCCCTTGCGTAGTTGGAAGGCCACTGCTTCGCTATGAGGAATCACTCATGGAACAAGAAATCAAGGTTAATACTTTTCATTACTTTTTGGACACAATTTGCACTCTTTCTAGTCCAACTTTACTCAAGATTAAGAATTTTGTATGTCCTTAATTGGCTCATCTCCTACCGCTTGTGATTTAATTATTAGTTCTGACTTTTGACAGCCCTTTTTTCCTCCCTTAAATTTTATAAATGCATTTAGGATGTCATTGTTGGAGAAGCTTGCGCAGAATTTCGGCATCAGTTGGATATAAATTACCCGGTGAACAACGGCATCGTGCAAAACTGGGATGATATGGGCCATGTCTGGGACCATGCATTCTACAGTGAACTAAAGGTAAATTTCTTACCGCCCCTGATTGTCAATTTTGTTATTATAGTTTCATCCGGATTGTTAATAACTCTGTTGCCTGCTTTGTGTCAACAGATAGATCCTACTGAATGTCAGATACTACTCACGGACCCGCCTCTCAATCCTTCAAAGAACCGTGAAAAAATGGTTTGTTTTGCAATCTATGTACTATTAAGTACCTTTTATTTTTTTGTAATCGTATCTGTACCATAATAAATACTGTGAATTATGGCGTTAGCATCTCATGGTTTTGCTTGATTCAACATTTCAGGTTGAGACCATGTTTGAGAAATACAATTTTGCTGGTGTCTTCATACAAATTCAAGCTGTTTTAACATTGTATGCTCAAGGTGCTTATAAAGATTACTAAAGGTTAAATGTTTATATTGCTGTTCCCCCCACTTCTTTAATATCTCCCTTTCTTGTTTAGTTCTTGTTATTCCTACAAATAAGTATGTAGCTTTGTATCTACCGTGCTTGGAAAACGTTGATAGGGAGAGCAAAAGCACTAGTGTGACTTGCCAGAATTATATGCCATTATATGTTGGAACAATCCATAACATACTATAACAACTGTTGTTACTTATGTTTAGCTATACTTTTGTTTCTTTCGGACATGGGCTTCAGCATTTCCTTGTTTTTTTACAGGTTTGTTAACAGGATTAGTTATTGACTCTGGTGATGGTGTTACTCATGTGGTAAATTCCTCAAGCACAACTTCTACATTATGTATAAGGAGTATTCAGAATAGCTTGGGTAGTGTACACTTTGTAATTATATGTTTGAGCTGGTTAGTTCTTGGATACTCCAAAGGAATGGAAACCATTTCATTAAACCCATTGAAGGGGAAATCAACTCTATGTCAAATTTGAGATATTTTTGCTCCAACCTCCTAGGTTCCAGTAGTTGATGGCTACTCATTTCCTCATCTTACAAAGCGAATGAATGTAGCTGGCCGACACATAACATCCTATCTTGTTGATTTGCTCTCAAGGAGGGGGTGAGAATCAATTGCTTATAACTTAGTAAGATCGATATGATTTGTACTACCGTTGATTCTACAAATTAAACTTTCTTTTATATTGAGAAATTGTAACGTTTTTCCTGAAGGTATGCAATGAATAGGACGGCTGATTTTGAGACTGTCAGGGAAATCAAAGAGAAGCTCTGCTATATAAGGTAAACAAAAAATCTTATTCTATATTCCTATGTTGTGGAACTTCTTTTTTTTGGGTGAGGAATGTTGTGGAACTTATTGATTGCACAAATTATTATATCCAATTTCTTGTAGTTATGATTACAAAAGGGAGTATCAATTGGGACTTGAGACAACCATACTTGTGAAGAATTACACTGTAAGTTGGTTTTCTTAGCATCTCATTAATTTTCATAGAGTCATTTTAATATATATGTTCAGTATCCTATTTTCATGTATGTCACTGTGTGCTTGCTGTGACACCAGTAGTTTCTTTCAATTTACATTGGTAAAATTACTCATTGAACAACCATTGTTGTTGTTGGTTTTGGTCTGTCTTTTTTCTGTTTGGTTCCCTCTTTAATCAAGAGTTATATATTTAGTTTGATATTAATTCACTGATATATGTTGGTTTAATCAGCTGCCAGATGGAAGGGTGATTAAAGTTGGCACCGAAAGGTTCCAGGCTCCTGAGGCTCTATTCACTCCTGTAACTTTCCAATTTTTCTTGCTTCTCTTGATATACTCAACTGAATTGCTTGAATATATTTGCTTTTAGTCTTCAGAGTGATATTACCACCTAAAATACTGGTTTTTGGAAAAGGAAAAAAGAAAGATTATAACACTATTCTGACAGGTTGAAGGTTTTGAATATTCATTAATGTTTTCCTTGTACAGGAACTTATAGATGTTGAAGGTGATGGGATGGCTGACATGGTATTCCGCTGTATTCAGGAAATGGATATTGACAATAGGATGATGGTACTAATGTGAATCCTCTTACAAATGAAATGAGCATTGTTTAACTCTTTATTTGTTTGAATACATTGATTTATAATTTTAATGCATCATGTGCAGCTCTACCAGCATATAGTTTTAAGTGGAGGGAGCACGATGTATCCTGGATTACCCAGTCGGTAATATCTAACTGCATCATAAGCTTCTGATTTAAAGTAGTTTCTTCCAGTTATATTCAACATGTGTGTATCAAGTTTCTGTATGTTTGATAACCTAGCATGAAACTGAGATTACTCTTTATTGTACACACCTTGATCATTTTATTATTCCTTTTCCTGCTCCGCTAAAGTTAAGACAATTCATGATCGTCCTTTTTCAGGTGCATAGTTTACGAACCACTGTTTACTGTCCAAAAGCCTCATAATACTCATGAAGACTCTGATGGAGTGTTTAGTTTTCAAAGAATTTCCATACCACTGGCCATATGATTATTTGATTTGCCTTATTTGAAAGAAGCCTGAAATAGTCAAACATTGTAGCATCAATAGTCAGCAATTTCACTTTCCTGGAATATCAGTCCATTTGGGATTAGACAACGTATTAAAGGAATTGTAGAAAATTTTAGAACCTTAAAAATAAAATCCATGAGTTACTTTTTGATATAAAAAACCAAGCGAGTTCTTTTTCATCCCAATGGCATTGTTTTTCCTTATTAAAAATAGAGTTAGGAACATTCTGATATTAAATTTTGGTGTTTCTTCAGTTTGGAAAAAGAAATACTGGACCGTTATCTTGACGTTGTTCTGAAGGGTAACAAAGATGGACTGAAGGTAAGATACGAGTTTTGTGTTTCATGGATTAGAAAGAGAACAACCATAGCTTTGAAAAATATGAAACAGGGGGAATGTGCTATTGTATAATGTTGGTATTCAAGGGGTAATAAAATGACGGTGGTTAGGTTGGGTAAATCCTGGTTGAATCTGGCATAATAGACTGAGCTCAGTCAGTCTCTTTCTCATGCTCTAAAATTTGCGATGAACAGAAATTGCGATTGCGAATTGAAGATCCTCCACGAAGAAAGCACATGGTGTATCTAGGTGGTGCAGTACTTGCAGGAATTATGAAGGTACGTGTCATTGCTTGTTCTCTCAATCTTTGAGATCAAATTTTTAAATGATGTCCCTGGTGCATTCTTGTTTAATTCTTCCCATATCTGAGATGGGTAAGTGCAAGTCATCTAAAAATTTCAATGTGGTGGTTAACACATGCAGGATGCTCCTGAATTTTGGATTACCAGGGAGGATTATCTAGAAGAAGGAGTTGCTTGTCTAAGCAAGTGTGGTCAGGCATGACTTTTCGTGGTCAGTTTGCCACCCTCTTAGCTGTTTGGAAGAGTGACACCTGACAAGGAAAACCATGAGAGGCTAAGACATTAAAATATCCAATTTGTGTTCTGAGTGAGTAAGCTATAGGTGTTTTGAGTAACCGTGTTTACTTCCCTTGGTAGCTATGTTATGTATAAGCCTAGTGCAAAGAGTTTGTGTGATAAGAACCTATCAAGAGTTGTATCCTTATGGCTGGAATGTATGACATTAAAAATGTAGAAAATATTCTGTGTTTTTTAGTCTGTTTCCAATACAATTTATTTCCTTGTGGGAGAGTGAGGAGTAACCATATTCCACGCCATTGCCCAACCACAATCGCAGACTTGCAGCCCATATTCCACGCCATGATTTTCTTCTCGTAGTGCTGGTGAGAAAGAAGAACACGTCTTCTCTTGTTTTTTTTTTTCAACCTTTATTTTGAAATAGGGAAATGGAGTTATATAGACAGGTCAATCTTATCCTTTAAAATTAAGATAAAGCAACGCACTTTCGCCAGAGAACATATCTCGCATTTGAAAACTGCTTCTTCTGTTGATCAAAAAGAAGAAAAAATAAAATAAAACAGTTGCGTCTTCTTCTAGAGTCTCCTCGTTTTTTTTACTTGATAAATATTTCGTGACATAACCAAAATCCATTAGAATACTCGCAGTTGGTTAATAATTCATCCTTTCCCAGTAGCCTTTTTAGTTGTTGCTTCTGCCCTTGGACTTGGTCTTGAAAGTTATAAGCAACTCTAAAATAAATTATGCATGTCACTGTGTCCGTTAAAAAACAACCTAATACCTATTGAGACAAAGATATTGAGGGTTTATATTTTTGTTTTCACCCTTTTGACCAAGATGGCTACCGGAACTTGGCATCCTACTTTCAATAAAATATCAGCAGATGCAGACCGGCCAAAAAGAAAATTATACTGATGAGAGCTGAGAAGCAAATATTATTATGTTATAACTTGTAAGAGACCAAGCAAAGCAAAGCGAGTTTTGGATACCAACCCCACCAAATAAGCTCCCACCCTTCTCCCTTGTGACAATAGATTTCTTGGCTGGTGTGTTAGGTTCCAGTACCAGTGGCCTACCCCCACCCATCTGGCATATCAAGATTCAGGACCATCTCCATTGTCCATTGTCCATTGTCCATTGTCCAAGAAGAAAACACCATTTCAATTCAACACACAATTCCGTAGCATTTCCCAAAAACACTTGCTGTGTTCAGATTTCAGGCACAACTACCTGTCCCTTTCACATTATTATCTTCTTTTTCTTAAACAAGTAACACAACGCTTGTAAGTTGGGCCACTCCCTTTCCCTTTTCTATAATAACCCACCTCCTAATTCATCACCCCAAACCCATATTCTGTGAGAGATTCTGATCACCATCACTTTTTTGGTTTTCTTGAATTCACTTCTCACCATATTCCCACATGGTTTGTTTTCTCATAAGCAGATAAATTGTGCATTAATTTACTATCATTCAATTTTTTAGGCCATAAGCACTTGGTTTGTTAAGTTCTTTCCAACCAATACAAAAATATTAAATAGATTGCTTCTTGTTCTCTGCATTTCTTGATATTGTGTTTCAGGTTGCTGAACTTGGAGAGTCTGCTGCAATGGACAACAACTCTAATGGCGGCGGCAATGTGTTCCAACTAAGAGTGAAGCAAGGAGAGCCAACTCTGGTTTCCCCTGCAGAGGAAACAGAGAAGGGTTTATACTTTCTCTCCAACCTCGACCAAAACATTGCGGTGACTGTTCGTACTATTTATTGCTTCAAGTCAGATGACAAAGGAAATGACAAGGCAGGAGAAGTGATCAAGGATTCTTTGAAGAAGGTTCTTGTCTACTATTACCCTCTTGCCGGGAGACTAACAATCAGCTCAGAGGGAAAGCTCATTGTAGATTGCACTGGTGAAGGAGCTGTTTTTGTAGAGGCTGAAGCAGATTGTAGAATTGAAGATATTGGAGACATAACAAAGCCTGACCCTGAGACTCTTGGAAAGCTGGTTTATGATGTTCCTGGTACCAAGAACATACTAGAGCTGCCTCCTCTGGTGGCTCAGGTTTGTAATTAAAACCTCTACAATTAATTTCGTTTCTTATCTCTTGAGTTTAAATTCATAAATTGAAGTAGTCATGGATCATTCATTCTACCAGGTGACTAAATTCAAATGCGGAGGGTTTGCTCTAGGCCTGTGCATGAACCACTGTATGTTTGATGGCATTGGCGCTATGGAATTTGTGAACTCATGGGCTAAAATTGCCAGAGGTTTGCCATTGACAGCGCCTCCATTTTTAGACAGAAGCATACTCAAAGCACGGAACCCACCAACTATAGAGCACCTGCATCAAGAATTCTCAGAAATTATTGGCACTTCCAGCACCAGTAATGACCTTTCTGAAGAAAAAATGCTATACAGCTCCTTCTGCTTTGACAGTGAGAAGCTTGAAAAAGTGAAAATGAAAGCCAGGGAAGACAGGGCTCTTGACAATTGCACTACATTTGAAGCTCTCTCAGCATTCGTGTGGAAAGCTCGAACCAGAGCTCTAAAACTGTTGCCTGAACAACAAATAAAGCTCCTATTTGCTGTTGATGGGAGGCGTAAGTTCAGCCCACCACTGCCAAAAGGGTACTTTGGCAATGGCATTGTGTTGACAAATTCCATCTGCCAAGCAGGTGATCTGCTGGAGAAGCCACTGTCACATGCAGTTGGGCTGGTTCAAGATGCAATTAAGATGGTCACTGACAGTTACATGAGATCAGCCATAGATTATTTCGAACTGACAAGAGCTAGGCCTTCTTTGGCCTCCACCCTCTTGATCACAACTTGGTCTAGGCTGTCCTTCTACACAACTGACTTTGGCTGGGGAGAGCCTATACTTTCAGGTCCAGTGGCATTGCCTGAGAAGGAAGTCATCTTATTCCTTTCTAATGGGACAGAAAAGAAGAACATAAACGTGCTTTTGGGTCTTCCAGCTTCTGCCATGAAGGTGTTTCAGGAACTGATGAATATCTAGACCAACAACAGCAATAATGAATTATTTTTCAAAAACTCTTGTATTTCCAAATTATTGTTACTTGTTGTAATATTATTATTTGATGTGGACTACTGCTATGTGACTGGTCAAAACAAAAGTACGCAGACAACTTATGTAACACATGTGCATGGTATTAATGATGGATTTTATTTGCTTTGTGGGAGCTTAACTTAACGGTGGTCATGCCTTGATCAAATATCAAATTTCAAGGTTTCATGATTTATGTATGAATCTCAATTACTTTAACAAATATTTAGTTATATACCCATTCTTAGCACTAATGATATACCCTACACCATTTAATTTTTATAAACAAATAAAAAAAACTCAAAAAATGAAAGCTGACCCTATTGAATTTAATTTTGATTATTAAATTACTTTGATGCCCTATTGAGTATTTTGGGTTTTTTTTATGAGGTTTTGAGATTGAGCTTGTTTTAAGAGATTTATGGCAGTTTTGTAATTTATAAGAAGTTAAAAGCCTTTTTGTTATGTTGTAAATGAGTTTTTGATGTGTTACTAAAGTTTCATTTCATATAGGGTTTTTTTTATAATTTAAACCCCTATATTGAGTATAATAGTAAATTTTCCTTAATTTAATACGATAGCATTTCATTCCGTTGTATCTTAAACTCACTTTGAACCTCGGTTTTTTTATAATTAGTTAATTATTAACTGTCGTGTTACGTTTCACATTAGTTGATAATGAAAATTTGAGATAATAGGGGAAAGTGAAACAAAATATTATTCTATGGGGAATGTGAGAGAACAACCTCGGACTGTCACACACGTGAGAAATTGAGAATGCTATGCACATACAAATTTAGATGAATGCGTACGACGTCGTTGCCTTAGCAGATATGCGTTTTGTACTACTTGACATTTACGGCTAAAACCCCTAATGGAAGGGGTGATTTAGGAAGTATAAAATCCCGACCGTACTGTAATTATCAAAAGAGAAGCCAAGAGAGAGAGAGGAATAGCCGAAGCCGAACTCAAAAAACAACCCGTTAAACTTGAAAAAGCCTTCGTCTTTGGGAGCTTCTGAGTCCGAATTCAGCTGGGTCAGCTTCGTCTCCACCCTCCAACTAATCCCGTATTCTCATTCCAACCCAAACCCAACCATCCATGGATGAACTGCTGCGTGCTAGCTGATTCTCTCACCCCCACCACATTCTTAGAAACACAAAAAGGTGCCTACTTCAAGCTTTAGGGTTCCAATTCTTAGTCCTCCTGTTTTCATTCTGGTAATTATGCTTTTTTATTCCCTAATTCTACTTTAGGGCTGTAGTTGTATTCTCATGCAAAGCCCACGAATGTCTGCCTTTTTTTTCTTCTTATGCTTATTTGAGGATTTTTATTTATATTTTGTTTGTTTCAGAATTTGGAGTAACATTTTTAATAACTGCTTTAATTGGATAGGCAAAGTTAGGGATAACATGTAGATAATGGGAAAAATGAAAAGAAATTTTGGGGTTTGGGTGAATGCTGCTTTCATTAATCTGCTATGCTTGGTCATTGAGTATTTAATTTCAATGTGATTAGTCATTGCGGTTCGGGTGAATTAATTATTTAATTTCACTGTGATTGGTCATTGAGTATTTAATTTTGAGTAACCGCATGATTCTGAAGATGGAAACCTTATAAACAAACATATTTGATGTTTGGTAGTTTGTAAATACCATGAGGGAGTATCATGTGTTGCAAAATTTGGTAAAGAAAATACGAAATTGGATGAATTGGCGTAGAGAATCAGATTCGGAACAATGATTCTTGCTTGTTTGTCTTTCTATCTTTTCATCTAGAAGTTATTGCCAAATTGTAGATTGTAGTGCACAAGCCATTTGGTAACACTGTTATTGGTATGTACAACGAAGATTTTACTTTCCGATCGTTAACCACGGAAGGAAACTTCTCATTCATTCCTTGCTTAATCATTACATGTCAACTATCCCAAAATGAAGAAAAATGCAATACCTAACAGGCGAACACAATGTCAAAACCAATTCTTGGAATCTGGCATCAGATCGTACGGAATTGGCAGCATCTAGATCATCTAGAGCAACTCTCTCTTATTGATGAACATTTGCTTCCAAACGTAGAGCCAGAAGATAAACTATTTAGCCCAAGAGAAGGCCCAAAGGCTTAGATGTATCATCTGAAAGTGTAATAAAATCCTTTTTCATCTATCAGTCTCACAAATGGTTTGAAGTGTATAGGGAACGCCACCATCGTTACATCTTACAATTTCTAGATATGGAGTGGATTTATCTTTATTTATTAGAGATAGCCATCTAAATTGAGTTTTTAACTATATTATCTCCTCCCTCCGGAATCCAAGAATGGACAGAAGTATGAAAATTGAGGAGGAAGCTTTGTCCCATGTTATGAAACAATTGTGTACTGCCAGTTAGCACACAAGTATTGTCTTTATTGTTTTCTCATAGCGGATATAGGTATCATATTTTCCAGGCTTTGTACAGGCCTAATAGCCAACTTCAGATTCAGTGTCAATTCACTGTCTATATTTTCTTTACTATCCCTGTCTAGATTTAAAAACATTTCTATCTGAATATTTTTTTTCGTTGTTGTCATAGGCTCGTTCCATGCCCTTGTTTTAGGTGAAATGGAGAGGAAATTATCCTTTCAAGCTCTGGTTTGGGTACTGGAATCATTATACAGTTTGAAGAATTTATCATAGGAAGCACTCATAGTCTAAAATTGTGAACATGAAGAAAAATTGCTATGTTATTTCTCAAAAAACATAAAAACTGTACCAATAACAAATCAATGTGAATCTATTGACTCTAATCATGGTCCATGGTGATGATGATGAACTTGACTGTTTGCAACTTGCAAATGCGAGATTGCCCATTATTCAGGCCAACCATTGAGTTTTCTAAAGATTTTGTTTAACTTTTCAAATTGTAACCCTGTAAGTTATGCTTCCTTACTAATCACATGAAACTTTGTTCTCAATATGTTGTGCCTCTAGTTGTCTTCCTAGGTGAGGATATGTTTTCTATATATATTTAAATGTTTATTTGTTTTGTGTGAAGGTTTTCTCAGTTTAAAAGCCAGCATTGTGCCTCGTTAGTTGGACCAAATCTTACTGGAATCATGGGAAGTACATTTAATCCGCAGATTTTAGTGGAAAAGCTAGCCAAGCTCAACAACTCGCAAGCAAGCATAGAGAGTATCCTCTTTCTGACATCATATGGAAATCAATGTTTTCTTTAGATATTTTTGAAGTATAAATCTAGACCATTTTCCTTGCTGTTTTGATTGACATAGTGAGTCAGGTTTCTTTTTGTGGGATAAAGTAGCACCCTTTTGTTTCATAATTCTCTTACATATCTCATTTCTTTGAAATTTTGGGGTACCTATGAGGATTTATTTGTGCGGAAAGCTTAATTGGATTTTGCAATCCATTGTCAAATCCACATATTCAATGGATTTTCCATGTCAAATTTGAATTCCTTTACCTGCTACTCCATGATCACTGTTTACTTTATTGTTCAGTTGATATGTATACTTTTTAAGTAGTTCATTTACAAGTTATAACTAATACTTGTTGTTATCTTTGGTGTTGATTGCTTGGATGTTCTCCTTAATGCAATGAAGCTTTATCACATTGGTGCATTTTCCATATGAATAAAGCAAGACAAGTTGTTGAAACATGGGCTAGGCAATTTCATTCCGCTCCACGTGATCAGAGATTGGCTTTCCTCTATCTTGCAAATGATATTTTACAGAACAGCAGGCGAAAAGGTTCAGAGTTTGTTGGTGAATTTTGGAAGGTTCTTCCAGATGCTCTTCGTGATGTAATTGAAAGTGGAGATGAATTTGGAAGAAATGCAGCACAACGACTGGTATAACTGTGTAACCTCTTTTCTACATTTTTTTATAAGAGAACCAATTGGAATCAGTTGTCCTGGAGATTATTTCATTTTTTTCTTGAGAACCTTGAGAAAACCATAATTTTATCAGTTTATAAGGTGCATAGAAGGACTCGAGTATGTAGAAACATTGCAGCATGATGCATTACATATGTGTATGTATATTCATCATATACTCTTTTTTCTTGAATGCTTGCAATCGTGTCTCCCCAATTGTTATTTTTGTTTGTTATTTTCATCTTTATTATTAGTGGGTGAAATGTATATATATTTATGTATCAAAATTTTATTCTAGAGACTAGTATGGAGCTGTTGCTGATTGTTCTGTTTCCATTTTTTACTTATAGGTTGGTATATGGGATGAGAGAAAAGTTTTTGGCTCTCGGGGTCAAATTCTCAAGCAAGAGTTTGTGGGAAAGCACCTGGAAAATATTAATAGAAATGGGAAGCATTCGGGTGCCAGACTGGTAATTCAAATTGTATATGCCTGTATGGTTGTTTGAGCATTTATTTCAGTTTATAATTTGATGGTTTTTTTTTGTTGTCTTTTATTGTTTTGTTAAATTTTTTAAAAGAAACAGCCTGCTGGAACTGCATTGGACAAAATAGTTTCAGATTACCAAGTCATATATGGGCAGATGGATGAAGACACTATATTGAGCAAATGTAGGAATGCTATTAGCTGTCTTGAGAAGGTAGATAAGGAAATTGGTGGTGATTTCAATTCAGGTATACCCCAAATGAGTAAATTCTTGAGAATGTTTCTCCAACTGTGAACATGTGTAATGTTGTGATTTATGTGTATTTGTGTTTGCATTTAACTTAATATTGTGCGCTAGATGAAAAACAAACTGTATTTCAGGTTACTTATATAAGATTCTTTACAGATATTGTTATTTAGTATTTTGTAATTCCAAACAGTGAGATTACAAAAAAGTATAGTGTTGAGTTATACAGAGAGGAAAGAGAGAATTAATGAGGTCGACTTTTTGGGATGCAATTTGGGGAGGAAAACAGTGGATTGGCTAGATTTGAAAGAGAATGTATGCACATGTAAAATTTACTAAGATTATGAATTATTATGTTTATGATTAACTTGTTTCGTCTTTTTTTTTTTTTGGGTCTTTTTTTCTTTTTTGAAAAAAGACAATAATTGCTGTTCTTTTTTTTATTCTTCCCACTTAAGTTATACTTGAATGGGTCATCTCTTGTTAGAACTTTCTTTGTCCTGAATAGTCCGTCTTGACTAGGGCAATTTCATGGATCTGCATTTGT